TAAAGGAAGGCCTGGGATGGCAGTTAAGGGGGAACATGCATGAGGCTATGGGGATGAAGTTAAAGACTCAGTAGAGACCTCGGGAAGTTGGAGATGCCAAAACATGGAATGTCTGCTGAGGAAAGCTGCTGCCTGTGAATGTAGCTGTCCCCAAACAGAGGCTATGTGGGCTGCAACAAATAAGACCATAGGAGTGGGACAACCTGAGTCCTCTGGAAATCACATCTCACAGCCATGTGCCCTGAAGGCCAAATATGGAGCTCAGGATTTAACTTCTTTCTGAGTTTTGGGTTTGTTTTGGTCCAATTCTTTTCTATCCCAATTCCACCCTTTTGTAATGGGAATGCCCTGTTCCTTGTATTTTAGGATTAGGTAACTGTTTTAGTTACTTCTCTCATTGCTCAGACAAAATACCCAAAACCCCAAGCTAAAGGAGAAAGGGTTTGTTTTAGTTTAAAGTTTGTAGAGGTTTCAGTCCACAGTCAGATGGCTCCAAAGCAGGGCTGCATGGCAGAGGGGACTGGCAGAGGAGAAACAGTCTATGACAAAGCAGTCAGGAGGCAGTGAGCATCAAACCTGTCTTCTTTCTGTCCTTTTATAAACCATTGATTAGTGTCATTTAACCTGAGGATGGAGTTTCTAAAGTATGCTAAACTAACTTAGTTATCACACAACCCTTAATCCCAGTAGCACACACCTTACATCCAACTACCTCTGAAAAGCTCCACCTATGAGCATGAGGCTTTGGGGGAACATCTAGATGCATGCTATAATAATAACTTCTAAAAATTGTGACAGCTAAGTATTTGCCTTGATTCTCAGAAGAGTCCTGGACTTTTGAAAAATGCTGGGACTGCTGAGACTTTGAGGAAGGGATTATTGCATTTCAAGTTGCACATGGGGTATTTGTATTATAGTAAGTGGAATTATGAGCTTGCCATTACCTTTAGCGATTAAGTACAGTTTGAGGAGATGTATTTGGGTGTGAAGTTAACAAGGGGTGGAGTGATGATGAATCCTGAAATGTCCACTTTATTGGACTAGGAAACACCTAGCAGATTAGTAAAGCATGCCTCTGGGGTGTCTGCATAGGTCATGGAGGTGTGACCTTGGGTAGTATATGTGGTCTCTCTCCTGTTCCTCTTTGACATTGTTTCCCTGCTCTACTTCCTGGCCACCTTGAATGGAACAGCTTTGCTCTACCATATCCTCCTGCTATGACACTCCTGCCTTGGAGCCAGCCAAACATGGGCTGAATTCTTCAAAGCTGTGAGCCAATCTAAACCTCTTCTCCTTTAAGTTGCAAGTGTTGAGTGTTTCGTCCCAGTGATGGGAAACTAGAATAATACACTCCCACTATGACATGCAGACTCTCATAGGCCTAAAGCAGTGGAGCCTGTCATGCATGGACTGGAAACTTCAATACTGTAATGTCAGATAAGCTTTATCTTTTTATAATTTAATTACCTTAGGTATTTTGCTTTAGTGACTTACAGCTAACACAGGGATTTTTGATGGGCTAATGGATATGCATGCTTTAGAAATCATAGAGGAAGAAGGGAAGAAGAGAGAATATTTGAAAAAATGCCCAAAAATATTACATATTCTGGGAAAATTAATATAAGCATTAAAATATAGACTCAAAGCAGGATAAATGCAAAGAACCATTTCTAAATACATCATAGTCAAACTTAAAAGCTAAAGATGGGAAGAAAATCACTAAAGTAGCAAAATAAAATTTAAAAGCTTCATATGGAAGTGGTTAGAAAGTCTGAAACTAAAATTAATCTCTTCCAACAATAAAGGACAGTAGGGGTCAACAGGGGATAGTAACAAGTAGAGACAGTGTGTGGCTGGATGACAGAGATTTCAGAAAACAAGAAGTGTTTTTTAGCCTTGGTTTTGTTTTAGACTTTTTTGTAGTGGAAAAGTCTTAATTGTTTAACGTATGTCAGATGTAAGACAGCAAACAATCTACTATATCATCGGACCCAAGGGAGAACCTGGTTCCAGGGAGCAGCCTGGTTTCAGTCAAGTCAACAAAGAAGTGAAAACTCTCAGAAAAATTGTTGGATTCATAGGGAATATTCCACTCTCAGATGAAAATAAGAGAGACGGTTCATACAAAAGGCAGGAAAGGGTAATCAACTTAAGAATTGCTAAGTGTTCCAGGAGAGAGATAAGAATAACACAATATCAAAAAAATAGGAGAGCGAGAGAGAGAAAAAGAAATCCTACTAATATATAGCAATTTAAAATGCCTTTTATTATATAAATATCTGAGTCTACAGATGTAAACATTTCTTGAGTTTCATGTAACATTATCGGTACACTAGAAAGTGAATTGAGAGGAGGGGTAGATCCCACACACAGACATTTTAGAACTCTTTCAATTTAAGGAAAAGATAGAATACTGCCTTCTAGGGATAAAAATCAATTTACAATATAATTTTATGCATTTATGTTGCTATTACTATGGAAAGTCATAAGTGTTCTCATATTTGAGGTTTTTAAAATATATAGTTTTCCTGAGGAAAATGTTTAAAGACTCATTTCAGCCAATGTCATACTAGTTTAGATCTAAAATATCACCTAAAATTCTCATGTGTGTGGAAGGTGACTGGACCATGGGGTACTCTGTTCATCACTGGACTTATCCATTGGTGGACTCAGTAGTTCACATGCTGTCAGGAGGTGGGGCCTGGCTGCAGGTGGTGCACTGTTTTCTGCATTTTATCCTGGAAGGTGCATTCTGATCCCCTGCTCTTCCCTCTCCCCTCTGCTCCCTGGGCTGGATGCTGGAGCAGCTTCCTTCCACCAAGCCCTCCCACCATGCTGCTTTTGTCCTGTGGCCAGCTGACCTCAGACTGAAGTTATGGGAACTGGGCCTCAAATGCCTCTCTTCCTTAAACTGTGTCTGTCAGAAGAAGTAAAAGCAGTAAATAAACATGTGAAAAAGTGTTCCACATCACTGGTCATTCGAGAGATGCAGATGAAAACAACACTGAGATTCCACCTCAACTCACAAAGAATGGCTGCTATCAGGAAATCAACCAATAACAAATGTTGGCGGGGATGTGGGGAGAAAGGAATCCTTCTTCATTGTTGGTGGGAGTGCAGACTGGTGCAACCACTATGGAAATCAATACTGAGATACTTCAGACAACTAGGATTAGAGGTCCCATTTGACACAGCTATTCCTGTGCTAGGTGTCTTCCCAGAGGAATTAAAAGAAGCATACCACAGAGATATATGCTCACCCATGTTCATAGCAGCACAGTTTGTTATAGCTAAAACTTTGAAATGGCCCATTGCCCATCAGCTGGAGACTGGATAAAAGAAGATGTGTGTGTGTGTGTGTGTGTGTGTGTGTGTGTGTGTGTCTGTGTGTGTGTTTAAATATGAAATGGAGTACTACTCAGCCATAAAGAATAAGAAACTAGAGATATTTAGAGCTAAATGTGTATTGAGGCTATACTCTTATGTGAAATAAATGGGACACATGTGTGTAAATACTGGCTAGTTTGTCTTGTGTAAGAAACTAAAAGTGTAAATAAGGATAGGGGCCAGGGATTTAGCTCAGTGGTTTGGTGGCCTGCCTCACAAGTGCAAGGACCTGAGTTCGATCCCTGGTACCACACACACACACACACACAAAAAGGATCAAAATGTATAATTGATATTTTGTAATAGGAAGTAAAGGTCTAAAGGTATTGGGAAAATGGGAGGGATAGGGGAAAGGTAAAAAGGGTAGAGAAAAAATAAGAGAAAAGGAAAAAATGGAAACAAAGTCTTTGTAAATAGGCAGGGGTAAAGGGAGGGCATGGGAATGGAGAAAAAATAAGAAACAAGAAATATCATGTAAAGGTGCAAATTCCCAATGATTCACCTAAAATGTAACAATAAACTTAATAATAAAAAATAAGTTGTGGCTGTCAGATATTTTGTTTCAGTGACAGGAAAGTGACTAATACATTAAAGAAGAATAAATCAAGCACAGAAATGTCATACCATAACTGAGCCTATACAGTGATAACACAGAATATTGAAAAACATATCATAAAAACAATAATTGAAATAGATAATTAGATTTGAAGCTATTTTTCCACAGAAATCTCATGAGCCAAGGTAGAAAGATTAGAGTTTATGAAAATGAAATCCAAACATTGCTAGGGAATTCCCACAATAGAGTACAAGAAACTTCACTCAATAACATAAGTATTGCTTTTCCTGTCACCAATAAAGATAGCCATCATAATGCCTTATTCATTTTCTATCAACACTATCATCCACTCTCCTGACAACTTCTACCATTATAAGTAAGACAATGTATCATAGGTTGTTTTGTTGTGTTTCCATGAGAACTTTGGGCTCTATTTAGGACCAAAAGTGTCAAAAATTTGTACTAAGCTATATTTGTGACCGAAAGTGTTTATAAATCTAAAATATGTCCCTACTCAATTCTATTTATCAAAAAATTCCATGTAGCAAACTGGTCTACATAAAAAATGGAGATAATCATGGAAACCAACTACATCATTAAGGATAAAAAATGACTGTGATCATGATTAATAAGAATGACAGTAGCCACACAATATTTAGTACTTATATCTACTGAACACTGACCTAGCACTTTTCGAGATTCTTACTCATATTATTGCTTTGCATCCAAACAACAGTCCTGTGAAGTTTATGTCATCATTTTATGGAAGAGGAAACAAAAAAAGTTACACAGCTCCTGAGAGGTGGACATCAAATGCAAGCGCTGGGGATCTGATTCCAAAACCACCTCCATAGTATTTACACACACTCCCTGAAAACAAATCCCAGTAATTTAAGAATTTTATAAAATGTTGGGTTAAATATATACTCATTTAGTTCAAATAGAACTACTGACATAATTTAACTACTTCTACTTTGCACACTAGGCCAAAAAGTTAAATTATTGTTTATGTAATGAAAGAAAATTAAAACAACACAATTAATATAAATGAACTAACTTTTCCTATTAAAAGATGAAAGAATTATGCTGTGCAGTGTTCTGATGTCTCTTCTCTAACCCGCCTGTCCAGTGAACCCAGCAGCATCAGAAGGTGTTCAAAATATGGAAAGTATATTTCAGACCACAATTTCTACTGAAGCAAGACCTTTTCTTCCTTATGGAGAGTCAATGGCAAAGGGGCCGCTATAGTCAAGAGAGATCTGTGGCGCTCCAGTGTGTCTAGATCTCCCAGACTTCTGGAGAGCCCCCTGTTCTTCAGCCAGGACATCATAATACTTGAGTAACAGACATACTCAAGCAGAGAACTTAGAACCCTGCTGTTGAGATGTGGATGTCCACCTGGCTACTGGGTGGGTCCTCAGTTCAATCTGGATCACAGATTTCCGGGTCTTTCTTTGCTTATCTGCTACTCTTTGATATACCCTAATGACTTGGCATGAATACAGAAGTAATTCAAACCATGATTAAACAAGTGCAAACATTGATACACCTAGAAAGGGCCAAAATTCAAATGCAGAAATAGCAGGTTAGCCACACTATGAAGTTTCTAAAGAGAAATAAAATCACCACAGGAAGCAGGTGACAATATTAAAAATAATAGCAAACTTACATAACAAAACTGATTTTCACATAAACAGTTTCCATGAATAAACTAGAAAAGGCATGGTCATTGAATTATATATGAGAATAGATAAAAGCACCATTCATCTAAGTGGCAAAATCACAAGACAACAATAAAAGAAGTAGTAGAAGGAAATTAACAACTTCTCACTCTTTGAATCCACACTAACTATTTCTGGTCAGCATATCAGGATTTGATATTTAGTCCCAAGGAAATGGGTGTTTTTGAATTTCAGGATTCAGAAGAAGTTGAAAATAAGGAGAGTTCCAAATAAGGAGAGGACAGAAGTGGATAATAACTTCTAACAACAACAAAATAGGATGGAAAGAAGGAAAGTCCAAATGTCATAAAAATTAAAAATATAACATGAAAATAACACAAGAGGAACAAGCCCCATAAACCAAATCTTAGGAGTGAATTACCCTATTAAAAGAAAGATGATAAAAGCATGTAATTTGGGGGGCAGAAGCTGCTCAGGCTTTATTTTGGAAGAGCCAATTGAATTGATTTTTGGTGAAGAGCATGGGCAGGTATGGGGTACGGGGTACGGGGTGTGGTACGGGGGTGGGATGTGAGGGTGGGGGACCCAAGAGGAGGCAGGGCCGAGCCTCAGGTGCCTCTCTGGTTCCAGGGGCTCCCTGTACAGCTGTCTTCCCATAGGTTGGGGTGGCCCCGACTAGGTGAGGGCTGAGAGAGGGTGCCTGGCAATCCACCCGGGCAGGACATCAAAGGACCTAGACCAGCTTCCTGGTGCAGTCTCGGTCTTCCTCATGAAGGGTGCACTCGGCTTTCCTTGGGAGCCATGGGGTCAGGCTCCTGCTGTGCTCCTTGCCCTCTAGCAGCCCGCAGTAAGCGCCAATCTCGCTGTCTAGCTCCCAGTCCTGCTGGCCTTTTGCAGGGCGGCCGGGTAGGCCCGCTGGGCCTTGGCTTCCTTCACGGCCAGTCCCCAGGGATGCCTTCTGTGCTTCGAGGGCTTCAGTCTCTGCCTGAAGGCAGCTGATGCTGCGGTCATCCCAGATCTCCGTTCCCAGGAGGGTCTGCAGTTCTTCAGATTGGGTCTGCGTGCGCTCTGGAGCTAGGCCGGGCTGTGGCTGGCAACATCCGCAGACTGGGCCTTAACCTCAGCATTCAGGTCCAGGGAGTGGCTGCGTTCGAGCCCTAAGACTAAAGCTCCAGGAGCTCCTCCTCATGCGGTTCTTGCGGACACTGATCTCGTCAGTCCCTGCAGGGAGACTCGCTCCCCACCTTGCTGAGGTGAGCGCCATCCGCCTCCCTCTCGAGGAGGACAAGCTTTCCTCCATCTGTGCCCTTGCTGATCTCATCCTCACACTTGCTCCTGAAGTCCTCCACCAGCCCCTGTATGTTGCAGCTTCTCCGGGCCTGCCCGCTGTGTCCAGCTGCTACAGGACGTTGTTCGTGGACCTCCCAATGCACTCTCTACATTGCTCTGGGCAGTTTCTGCTCAGTCACCAGCATCTCATGCTGCTGCCCCAGGAACCTCACCTTGCCCGTGAATGAGGCAAACTTGTGGAGCACCTTGATCTGCTTCTTCTGAACGCTTTTGGGCCTGCATGTTGGGGTCAACTTCCAGGTTCAGGGGTTCATCAGGATCTGGTTCACCTGCATTCTTCCTGTGGCCTCAGCCTAGCATGGCTGTCCAGACCCAGGTTCCCGGGAAGACGCTGAGGGCTGAGGCCAGAAGTGGACAGACTGCAGGATATCTGCTCACCCTAGTGGACATGGTGCAGGCTGTGTGAAGACAGATTAGAGAAGGAGCCAGGCATCTTTCAGATGGACCACGGGGAAAAAATAGATCCAAGAAACTAAAACCAGCTTTAAATTGTTTAAGAGAAGCACTCAAATCTAAGTGATCTAGAGGAGTTGGAAAACCCTAAGAAAAGCAATTAAATGAAAGTGCAACCAAAAGAGCAGGTCTGACTAGTGATGAATGCTAAATGCTTCAAAGAGCAAAGACACATGGAACTATAAAAAGCAAAACTCCTAAGGATTGGTCAGAAATCCAAATGTACTCAGAACATGTTATTAGAAATTCAAGGAGAATTTAATTTAAAATTCATTCTTGTAGGATTTCTAAATGCAGCTTTTTCATATGGCTAGATCTAGCAAACAACATGTAATATGGTCAATAAATTATTCAGAAACATTGAAAGCTTCCAAGAAAAAGTAGCAATAGTGTACTTATTATTTTTTAAGATGCTAGAAAAAGGATAGCATAAAGGATAACATATAAATAAGCAGTAGAAAGCATTTCATAGCTAAAAGATCAAATTAATGAAAAATTTAAAAATCAGCCTTGTCAAAGACCACGTGATTCTGAAAGTGGTCTCCAGAGACTCAGAAGTGGCCAGAGGACTTATTTTCCAGCACATCACTCTCCTTTTGTGCTCAGCTTATAGGAACCAGTTGCTAAACATCTTTGTCCATCCTTCCCTAGCAGCTGTAGCCTTGCAGATGACACCTGGGCTCAGGAAAGAGGATGTCCAAAGGTGCTCTCGCCTCCTGGTGCAGTGTCTTCTCAGATGAGTTCATTTTCCTTTCAGGAAACATGCCAAGGGACTTTGAAGAAGACTGTTTCCTGCTTTGTAAAAGTGAGACCATACAGGTGACCACAAGGACATCCTTGTTGCAGAGAAAGGAAATGCCACTTTAGAATTTCTAGTAGGACTTTTTAAACCTTTTGTGGAATGTTATCATATAATTTGCAAATAACTCTTACATGAAGAAGAAGAACACTTCATTGAAAAGTACTACTTGGTTGCAGTTAGAAAATTCACAGATCAGCTTTTTGATCAAGGGAGCTCCCAGTGTTATGATGTTTTATTTTCAGATGTGCAGAAAAATTCCTTGGCTGCTTGCACGAGACTCAGTGCAGTAGAGAGGAAAAAGGTAAATAATGACTACATATGCAGGGTTAATGAACCTGCCATGAGCGAATTAGAAGAGATGCTTGGTTAGGAAAACACCAATAGGAAAACTAGCCACTGCAAAGCTTCAATACTCACCACACAATTATGGAAAATTCGAGCACATGATTACTGTTACAAAAGACTCACTGCTGGGGGATTTAAATACCCCACTATCACAAATTGACAGATCTACTAGGCAGAAAATCAACAATGAAATAATAGAACTGAACCAAGCTTTGGAACACATGGACTTAATAGATGTTTATAGAGTATTCCACCCCCAAAAACCAGAATATACATTCTTTTCGGCTGCACATGGATCATTCTCCAAAATAGACCACATATTGGCTCACAAAACAGGTCTAAATAAATGCAAAAAAATTGAAGTCATCCCCTGTTTATTATCAGATCATAGTGCAATCAAACTAGACATCAATAGCACAAGAAACTATAGAAACTTCACAAGCACATGGAAACTGAACAACACTCTCCTAAACAATCAATGGATTACAGAGGAAATTAAAGAAGAAATTAGACAGTTTTTACAAATAAATGAGAATGCCAATACAACATACAGGAATCTTTGGGACACAATGAAAGCAGTTCTACGTGGAAAATTCATAACATTGAATGCCCACACTAGGAAAACAGAGCGGGCTCAAATAAACAACTTAACGATGAAACTTAGACTCCTAGAAAAACAAGAGCAAGAAAAACCCAAAGCTCGAACAAGAGAGGAAATTATAAAGATCCGAGCAGAAATCAATGCAATTGAAATTAAGAAAACGATACAAAAAATAAATGAAACAAAGAGCTGGTTTTTTGAAAGAATAAATAAAATTGACAAACCCTTAGCTAATCTTATCAAAAAAAGGAAAGAAAAGGCTCAGATCCATGCAATTAGGAATGAAAAAGGCGAAGTCACAACAGATCCGAAAGAAATCCAGAGGATCATGAACACCTACTTTGAGAACCTGTACTCTAATAAAATGGAAAACACAGAAGAAATGGACAGATTTCTAGATACTTATGAATTACCAAAGTTGAACGAAGAAGATAAAAACATTTTAAACACCCCAATCACAATCAGTGAAATTGAAAATGTAATTAAAAACTTACCAACAAAGAAAAGCCCAGGCCCTGATGGATTCACTGCTGAATTTTACAAGACATTTAGAGAAGAACTACTACCATTACTCTTCAAACTTTTCAATGAAATTGAAAGAGAAGCTATACTTCCAAATTCATTCCTGGAAGCAAGTATCACTCTGATTCCCAAACCAGAGAAAGATACAACCAAAAAGGAGAACTACAGACCAATCTCCTTAATGAATATAGATGCAAAAATCCTTAATAAGATACTAGCAAACAGAATACAGAGGATTATTAAGAAGATCATCCATCATGACCAAGTCGGATTTATTCCAGAGATGCAAGGGTGGTTCAACATACGAAAGTCAGTGAATGTAATACATTATATTAACAAAGTCAAGGACAAAAACCATATGATCCTCTCAATAGATGCAGAAAAAGCATTTGATAAAATTCAACACCCATTCATGATAAAAACCCTGCAAAAAATTGGAATAGATGGTCTATACCTCAATTTAATAAAGGCTATTTATGAAAAACCATCAGCCAACATCATATTGAATGGCCAAAAACTGAAAACCTTCATGTTAAAA